CAATGCTCAATTAATTTCTTTAAACACCAATACTAGAAAATAATTACATTATTTTACAAAAAAATATTAAGATTCTACAATTTATGGGCCTTATTTTTAACCCGTATAGTAAGTAGTTACTTCCTATTTTACAACCATTATTTCAAAATACTTTAATTTTCAACCCATACATTTAAACAATCCAATGTTTTTTTCCCCTCTCAGATTGATTAGGTGGTGATAAATTGAATTTAAAATGTCAAAATGTTTTCACTATTTATGTAACATGGTCAATGCCAAAGCGAAAGGGCTTTTGTTTTTTTGGTTGGTGAGAGTCTGACTCAGTCAAATATGTTGATAAACAAATATGTAAGTTGAAAGAGCAACATTAGCACGTGTGCAATCCATATGAAAATGATAGTGCACTAATTCAGTGTTGCTCCTTCCTGTGTAAGAAAAAAGGACTTGTGTATCTCCTGCACGGTATTGGTGAAATCAGATTCGATGTTCAGTTGCTTTTCTTGCGCACGCTTCGTACCTTCAAGGATCGTCAAACATTCAATTGCATAAGTGACACCTTTGTCTTCGTTGAAGATTACCCTCAACTCCATATGAACTCATTGCCTGACTTAACAACGCCACGTACGTGTAACATTAATCTAATATTTTGCACTTAAATCCAAATTTTTTCTCTACTTTTTAATAACACATTCTTAAAAAAAAAAAAAATACTATCCAAAACATCATTTTTATTTTAAAATAATGGCTATCAAACAGGGTGGTTTTAATTGATTTTTTGTATTAATTGGGACAAGAATATGCTCTGATTTGAATGGACAGTGAGTCAACTTTCGAAAGTGGTAGCCTAATTTCTTGAATGGGCAATACTGGCACCACCACCTCATTCTTGCTTACTTTCACCACAAAATCTCTCTTTTCATGTACCATTTTTTCTTAACTTCCTCAACAAAGTACAATTCGATTAAATTAAGAGTGAAAAAGGGTAGTTGGCACAAGAAGAGCTTTGTAATGAGAGAGAGAGAGAGAGAGAGAGCTGTGTGTTTTCCATGGAAGACGTTTGGTGTATTTATAACCTTAAATCCCTTAGGATGATGGGCCTCTATGTTTTGTCTATAATGTAAGTTACAAGGTTACTTTGTGTACGAAATTTAGTAAGGTCTTCTATCAAGTCAAAGTAGTGAACAAATTATAAACGCAAATAATTTAATTTTGAAATTATTGAATCTATTATTAAGATATAGTAATTGCATTTATTCGCATTCTCGCAACAAATGCGAAGGGTCGGTTGGATATTTTCAAAAATGATCTCAACCCGTCGTTTTAAACCAATTATTCGATTTTAGGGTAAATGTTAAAAATAACACAAGCAACACGAAGACCACGCATGGCCTAATCCTTGTTCTAAAAGTTCGATAATAGCAACATAAATAACATACATAATTTTCTTTAAAAGTTAGTTAAATCGTCCAAAATAATTTTTTAAATTACTTTTTCACTAATAAAACTTACTTTTCAAAAAAGTAACTTTAACGTTGATATTTAAAGGTGAATAACATTTATTTTGTCTCGCATAAATTGTCCACTTTGAAGTTAAGAATAAGGAAAAAGATACACTTACAGAACTATTCACTTACAGAATAGTTACAGAAATAAAAATTTCCCAAAATACCCTTTATATATAAATTGCAACTAGGAGCCACTACAAGAA